ACATCGGACTTTGTCGTTAGGAGGCATCGAATTGCTTTAGACCCATGTCCCCTGCAATGGTATTTCAGTTTGGTTGAGGGTAGGGATAGAATACCGCAGTTATCAAACGGGAAACTTTGAAATCCAAACTAATTGGAAACATAATTTTCCAAACTCCTTAGACGATTTCAAACTTTATGGAAAAATTCTCATGGACTTTTGACCACGGTTTCTCAATTTATTTGCAAATTGTCATTTTTGTTGTTACTAAACCTAGTTTTCCCGTAAATTTGTATGTTTCTGTTTTCCAAATATTTCTTGAATTTCCCCAAGAAATAGAGTGGAAATTTTGTTCTCCTCTCCAACAATGTTTCGAAACATCATATTTACACATTGGTTGGACAGATTTGTTTAAATTCCGACTTTGCTTTACTGTAAGTTATCTGATGGTTAAACATTTTAAACGGGGAATGTACAAATTGTGATGCAGTTGATCTGAAATAGGTTCAGTTACTCTTAAAGGTTTTATTCAATTAGCCATCATTGTACCGGGTGTAACTGAGAATACGCAACAGTGTGGCGGGATTGCATACCCAATATGGCCGCAGGGGCCATGGCCCCTTACGGGCATAAAGAGTAGGCAAACCCGCAGCACTTTTGCGTATTCTCAGTTACACCCAGTACATTTAGGTTGTGAATTCGTTCCGGGATGAGAATCTAAGAGTTTAAGATGCACTTGCTTAACTTAATTATTTCTCTACAGTACACACGTCCTGCAGGACCAAAAGGGTAGAGGCTGCGAGTGAGGGAACCGGTAGTCCGCATGATAGCCATGTGCCTTGCTGGAATACACTAGCAAACGTCTTTAATAGGGTGTACCTTATACGACGACTTTTCAGTGCCTTAAGGGCACCCACTCACTTGACAATAGTTTTTTATCAAAATTAGCTGTCAATCATGACAATGTATTTTTCGTCTGTATGAAGGATTTTTACGTCTTGAAGCTATCACAGGCGTTCTACATGCTTTGCAGTAGAATAATTGTACATATCACCCGGGTGGAAGGATCTAATGCAAAACTGTTGACCTAACTACAGTTTCTACTCGTACTGTGCCAATCTAAAGTTAAACTGCAGTTAAACTACATCCGTAGAGTTTTTCTATAGTTTAACTACAGTTAACTGCAGTAAAACTGTAGTTTAAGCTACAGTTTACAAGTGCAGTATCGGCTGCAGATCCTTCCGTCCGGGCAGTCGTAAGTCGATGATCTGTATTTTAAAGACTGATCAACGCTAAATTCATTACAGATACTAGAAGAGACTAGAAGAGGTAGTAAAGAGTTGGTATATTTGTATATACCCATAAAAATGTAAGGAAAAGCGATGACCTTAGCAACGCTCAAAGACTTTGCAAGGAAGAAGGGTGCACGGGAAATAATGTTTCTTGAATTACGAGACCTGGTCTTAGATCTTATGGATATAACAATGGATATTAACAATAGGAAAAAAGTAAACACTGCTGCGTGTTCCTTGAAGATCAAGATACAAATGGCATTTTTTTTTCTACCGTTAACATTAGCAAACCCACAATGAAAAGAAGACAGCGCTGCAGAGAGCGCCGAAAAACAGATAGGCTAGTCTTTCGGGGCAGCGAAACAGATAGGCTAGTCTTTTGGGGCAGCGAAACAGATAGGCTAGTCTTTAAGGGCAGCGAAACAGATAGGATATTGTTGCACGGACGCGTCGAACTTTTCTTCTGTCATTTTTAGCACATTGTGTCGCTCGGCCACTAGTGGCGGTCACAATATACGGCAATCGACTGATGCAATATTAAACTTAAGGTAGTACGAGCACGAGCGATGCATTCTAGTCATCCCACAGACAAACTAAATTTTCCAGACAGTTTTTAACAAGTTTGAACTAGTGCTAAAATTTTATATCGCTCGTCCCTTACTCAAAGCACGCACGGCGCGGTGCCTCTAGAGAAACTAAGTATCTTTGCGCGACGCTGGAGAAACCAAGTATCGTTGCGCGACTCTAGTGAAACCACGTAACGCTTTTTTTGACGGTTTTTTAGGAACTCTTTATTTCAACAGACATTTAAAAAGATTTGAGGTATCTATATATTCTGAAAGAGCATGATTTCCTCTTTCCAACGGTATCTGTCTCCAAAATTCACCAAAATATGCACTTGCGTGGTTTCGCCAATGGCTGTGCGCTGTGCGTGTTTTCGCGAGCGGCGCTCCGACCCGACGTGCGTGCTCTCGCCAGTGGCCGCAGTAGGGACAAGCGAAATGTGGGCTCATTTTCTTAATTTAAATTAAAAATTCTAAATCTGTCGTTATGTCGCACAACACTTTACTTGGCATCACTGTTATAGGAGTACCAAAATGAATCTTCGAACTGGAAATTACAAAAACAGCAGATCGCCATGGACCGGGAGGTTGTTCCTGGTATTGTTGCTTTCTTCAGTTTCGGCAAAGGTTAGTTTGTTTTTTTGCTTATTGGCTGGAATCGTCGCCTACCAGTTTTCAGGCCCACTTTCAGTCATTTGAACAGCTACAGCTGTATTTACTAGGGGCTCTGTAGCTTAGTAGGACCGCATACTAGTATAACAAATGTATTTGTGTTGAACATGTGTAACAACGACACAAATACATTTGTTACACTGCTTAAATAAGATCAACACGGCAAAGCACCTTACTAATATCGGACTAACACAGGTAAAAATACTGCAAGATTTTACACTATTACAAGATTTTACATTATTAAAAACTGGGCCCGAACAAGAGACATATCATCGCAAATTTACAATTTTTTGTAATTTTGTATTATTTAAGTTGTAAATTTACGAGCACACATTCTTAGGACCGATTTCACGACCACAGCGCTAATGTGGCTTTAACTAATGTCGACTTAAACTAATGGGGGTACCTTAAGTGGCCTTGTCTTTCACCACGACTAACGTCCGCTTATCGGAGCCGACTTTAACAAACTGAGCGGCAGTTTGGCAACATCGGTGAAGCTGCCGCGCGCCCGTCAGAATCTAGCGTGCAGTGCGTACACATACACGGGGTAGTGGCCGTTTTCGCGCGAAATTGTGTCTTGTTTCATTAGGCGTGTTTTCGTTCCCCTACCGCGGTAGCTCTTGGTAGCGTGCGTGACGTCACAAACAGCAAACGCAATCGTAAACAGGGCGGTGGAGTGTCGTCTGCTCCCACCTGCTGTTTAGGGCGTGTTTACAAAGGATATTGTGTGTGCAAGATAACTTAAAATGAGGAGAGTGGATAAAAAAAAAGTTGGTTGTGATTGCTTCTATCCTTTTGGAGGACTTCGAAGAGGACGATGAAGTCCTTTCGGTAATCGGAACGCGACGATATGCTACGAACTCTGTCGCAACGTCCTTGATCATGAGAGAAGGGCGCCCTTCTGTCATGCCTTGATTAAAGAAAGGAGGAAGCACTTTAGGTTAGGCAAGTTGTACAAAAATGACTTAAATTAGATAGATCGATATCTGGACAGTGATTTCCACCGACGATTTAGGCATGTATCGAACTACCCAGCATTATTGCATATGTCTTCCTTTTGTCAAATACGAGCTCTAATTATTTTCTTTACCTTTGAAGGATGAAGAAGGAAACATACCGAGCTCCTGTAGAAGTAATTCGGCCCCATTATCCCGTCAAAGAACATCGTGGTGATGTTCAGGTGGTTGACGTTGAACGTGCAGTGATTATGACCCTTCATTATTTAGGACAAAAAGTTTCAATGGACTATGTTGGTGACAAGTATGGTTTCACAGGGTCGACTGTGCCCAAAGAAGTCCACAGGATAGTGACAATTCTATGCAGCTTGAAGAGCACTTTTATTGTGTGGCCCAGCCCACCGGAGATGAGTGCCACATTGTGCAACAACGGTTTCATGAAAGGTCAGGGTTTCCAGGTGTAGTAGGTGCCATTGACGGTTGTCACGTGGAAGTACTGGCACCAGCTGCTGATCAAGATTCTTACACTGGTCGGAAATCCGATCATTCTATAATTTTGCAAGGAGTGTGCACAGCAACAAAAAAAATTACAAATGTTTCAATTGGGACTCCAGGGCCAAGAAATGATTGCCGAGCATCAGCCTTTTCGAGTCTGTACAGGAAAGTTACCACTGAAGGTCACAGAAGCCTCTTTTATGATGACAACTACCACCTTGTTGGGGACAAGGCATATCCCAACCGCTCATGGCTTCTAGCTCCCTTTAAGAACTATGGAAATTTGACAAGGATGCAAAGAAGGTACAATTATAAGCACAGTGTTACAAGAGTAGTTATTGAACACACTTTTGGACTTTTAAAAGGTCG